ATATATATATATATATATATATATATATATATATATATATATATATATATATATATATATATATATATATATTCTAGCAAAATCTTCTTAGGTCTACTTCTTCCTCTACTCATACTACCAATATTATGTTTTGCATCTCCTAACTACAACATTTATATAGCTCTTGGCACATGTCAAAGATACCATTATAAATGATTCTTTGTCATTTTATTCTCTATCAAAACTATATTGTTCATAAATGAAAACATTTCCTTTTCTATCTTTCATAGTAGCTACACACATTCATATTAATATTCTCATCTTATCGACACACTTTTTGACAAAATATTTCACTTATTATCTTCGAAGTTTTCAAATATTCTTATTTTATAATTGAAAAAATAAAAAAATTGATACTGAAACTAATTATTCTAGAACATTTAATTATTATTTTGAAAATTTTGTGTGATTGCTTTGTGAAATAACATAATGTCTTGTATGCTCTATAAAGTGATATTATTGGATGTTATGGTTTATCTTTGTTATCATCCTGATCATTCACCTTATTTTCTATCTATTCAGAAATAATTACAAGAATAATTACAATAGGATCAGGTCTGTTGGATTGGACTATGTGGATTATGGTAGCAGGTTCGGCAAAAAGTTCTAAGTCTGACTTTTCAAATTCTGAACAATCTTATAATTAGAAAAAATAAAATTTGAGTTTGAAATATTGGTGATGTGATTACTATGTGAAGTTTCAATCACTTGTATGCTCTATCACATGATATTATAGTAGTGAGTATTCTTTTGTGGTACTACATAGTTTTCTTTTCCAAGAAACATGATGGAAAAGGTTTCTTTTTTAAATTTTTGATGAAAAGCAAACATGAATTGGTGTGGAAAAAGGAAGATGGTTTCCTTTTCTGTTGTGCTCTAAGTTGCAGGAAATCTTAAATCTTAGTCTTTTTTTAGGAAATTTAACCAAACAAATGGAAAGAAATGAATTATTAAAGTTTTTCTTTAGATTTTCAAAGAAAAATGGGAACCAGAAACCAGCATTTTCAAGAAATCTTTTCTACCAAACATGGAAGAAGATTTTTTTCTGGGTATAATTTGCCATCAAATTGTCCATGTAACCAAACACATGTGGGTACCCAGGTAAACATTTGAATTTTGGTGCGGGTGATTGGTAAGATTGGTCTGAATTGTCTAACCTGTTTTGGATGATTTTTACAGAAAGAGCACAGAACAGATACACCAAATATGTCTCTATTATCTAGAATTTATTGAAGCTATAATGTTTTGAGTAAAACTTTGCTATTTTGCTTCTAGGTATGAATGCGACAGACTGACAAAGTTGATAAAATCGCAAGTTATCGAATCCCCGTCAGAACTTGTTCAGGAAGGTGCTGAAAGAGGCAGCAAAGACATGGACTCTTTGGGAGATTGGCGATCTTTGAAGCAGTATATGGAATTACCTGAATCATTTCATTGCTCTCCTGTTCTGAGTTCTCTTTCCCCTAGGACTCCCGCTTTTAGAAAGTGCACACCTGATATCCACAGTGCAGCAGTTATGGAGGCCAAGAAATGGTTAGATGATAAAAAACTGTTACCAAGCACCAAAGTTGATCCTGTGTGTGGACCTTGCACTTCAGACACTGATATGCTTCCTTATGTAAGGACCTACTTTGAACTTTCTTCTCACTTGATTGTCTTTGTTTGGATATTATTTCAGCTTGTGTCCTCATTCTTTGCTCTAATTATTACCCATTTTATGAAAATATTGTTTCAATTTCATATCATTGCGCTATCTTAAGCATATGTCATTTGATTAGTTTTCTAAAATACATTCTTTTCTCACACCGATTCTTATATTATTGTCTTGCTGTTAAATATTTATATTTTAGAAACAGCATCGATAGATTTGACATCTTTTCCTTGTATTCTAGTAACATAAGGATTTATGCATATTCCATACATGTATGCCTTATATCCATTTTGAATATGCATCCGTTGTATCTTTGATTTGTATGTCTTTTCTGAACAAATATGGTTACATATTTGGTCATGGTTTCCCATTCTTTGGTGTAGCTGACAGTTGCAACTTTGACAACTGTAAGCAAGCTTGCAATGATATCAATGCATCATTTCCACCATTGAAATAGGATGTTGGATGGCCATTATCTCTGATGGATGAAGGATCCTCTCTAGTACTCTTTGATGCAGCACAACAATGTGATGTGGTACGAAGGGAAAGAAATTTTCCACATGTGAGCACTTTGAGACAATTCAGATAGAAGAAGTAGCAGATGTAGGTTTGCAACCTTAAGGAGATAGCATCTTGCTTGCTGTTATGAGAGAGAAAAAGGTACAAAGAAGGGTGATAGAGGATGAAAATGTGGAATTACCTCTTCAGAAATTGCAAGAGATACAGTGAAGATAATTTGGCTTTTTTTGGTTAGCTATGCATTTTTTAGGTTCATTGTGGGTCATTGATATGAACCTTAAGCTCTGTACTGTCTGGGTTGGCAACGAGTATGCTGTTAGTTTGCTGGAGATTATTTTAGCAATTATATTTGAACAAGTCATGCAATATATGTTCATTCGAAGTGTCAGCAGTACCATGGGTCAAACTCTTTTCTAAAGATAATGTGGCAGCACTTTGCCAAGTACATTATTTTCATGTGGCAACAACTATAGATGGTCCATGTGGAATTTCCTTTCATAACAGCTAGTCCTGTTACATGAATTTTTTATTTTCTGTTTCTGAAATTTGGTGATCCTACCTTATCATATTGCTGTGTTAGTGATGGAAGGATTAATTATTTTGGTGAATATGTGCTCAATTCATACATATATGCAAATGCACTTTTTAGTTCTATTATGTGTTGAAATTTGAAATTCCTCATTAATGTGACATGGAGTGACTTTTAGCTTTGCCTTGATATTTTTAATGAAAACAAAATGTAAAATTTCTTCTTCAAAGCGTATGTATCTTTTGGCGTGTTAGATTATTTTTTGGGCTTATGTTTCACCTCTTTAAGATATTTCCTTTTTCCCCCCCCTTTGCCTAGACATTTTCTTACTTTTCATTCGCTTGATGGAACTTATTTCTGACTTATCCTGGTTTGACCATTTATAAAGGCTTTGCAGTGATTAAGGTATCTGTGACCACCGGCTATGCCGGAAATAGTTGGCACAGTTTAATATATTGTACTGACCACAGCCTAACATGCTTGATCATGTGGCAAGCATGTCAAGGGCAAATGAATCAGTTTTCTGCCTCCCTGCTTGGCATGAGAACACCACTGACAAACATGCACTGACACAGACCTGCATGTAAAGGTATGCACCTACGTGTAATACTCCTGTGTATCATGCAGTGCAGTTAGGGGATCTTTGATGTGGAATTACAATATGAATAAGGGACATCTGTTTAGGCATGTTTATGACGAAAAAGAAATGCCACCTTTAGAGAAAGTGTTTTGACTAATCTGATTGCATCTGTCTAAAATAGGTTTTGTAATCCATTCTGAATTGATGTTCTTTAGAAATTTAAAGATTCAGTTTATTGATGCATTCTACAGGATGTCCATGATAAAGTTGTCTCGCCAGTGGATTTGGCTAAAATGTACATGAGATCCCTTCCTTTTTGGCAATCTCCATGTTCTGTTAGTAGTGGCCTCAAGATGCCAGTTCCTAGCAAGGTTGATTTTGGCCCGGATGACATCCCCCACACAACAGCCAGCCATTCTTTGCCCCCATTCAAGGTACTTGTTATGGGACAAATAATTATAGAAAAAATGAAAGTAATGATATGTTGGTGAAAGTTTTTGTTCTGTATATTGCATAAATATTTAGTTTTTTGTTATGCAAACAAGATTAAATTGACTGATTCTGTGAAAAGTTAGTAAGCTATTTTTTCCTTTATCAAATTAACTTGGTCAGAATTTTGATGAAACTGGTTGGTGTTAGTTCACTATAATTATTCAGTCAAAAATTTAAAATTCAAAATGGAACTCATAACATTGGATGCTACGGCTGACATGAGCCGAGTCATTTGTTCATATTTGTTTTAAACTTGCTGGAAATCTACCTAAACTTGCATCGAAGAAATCTGTGCTTCTTTTTTCAGCTTCAATTGGAAGCACCTCTTTAAGAATCGTGTTTCCTTTGGGTTTCCATTTGCCAGCTCCTTTAGTCTAACTTAGTGGGGAGCATAACTGTCATGATTTTGATTTGTGTCATATTAATGCAGATGTATAAACAAGACTTAGAGGATATGATATACTTGCCCTTGACTTTTCTTTTATATCATGGAATTCTTTAGTCTTGTGATGTCAGTGAACTTATTGACTGAAGGCCAAGCAACAAAATGATTCTCCAAATGATATTGTTTATGCTGCCTTTTTATTTTTAAAAATTTTCGTAATATGTGCCATCATTTAAATTTTTCTTTGTTTGTTTCAATAATATTGACAATGGTCCAGCTAGTGCTTTATGATTTAGCATACAAAGGATGACAGACAGTTTTCTTTTGGTCTTTTCCTTGCTTTTGAAGAGAACATATGAAACAGAAGATTTTAAAAAATTGATCACTTTTAAGTTTTAACGTTACCAACTCATTTATTAGTCAGAATGTGCACGCGATTTATAGAGCACAACTGGTTGATTCACTTGACTTTTATTTTAAAATTCTGTTAATGATGTGCTGCTCTTTTCTCCTAGTATACATGTTAAAATGTACTTCTGTGTTCCTTTCTGATGCTTATTTTTTTCTTTTTCTACAATCTAATGATGCCTATGTGAAGGATTTTAAGAGGAAGTATTGCTCTACCAGATTGTGGGGAAGTCCGAATGACAACCGTAGAGTCCGTCTGAAACTGACAGAAAAGATGCTGGAGAGTCAAGGGCCCAGACATATTGATTTGCTGAAAAATATATATCAAAATGAAACTTCAAAGTTCACATCAGCAGTAGATGCGGGAAGTCGAGATGTTTTAGGAGCGAAAAATTTTTCGTGTACGTTTCAAGCTGCGGAAATTTCCAGTGCTCCTGCTAAGTCATCTGTGGATTTGCTTGTTGAATATCAATGTTCAGAGGATGCTCCCCAATTACCCGATGGAAAAACTGTCAAATCAAGCCATCAAACATCAACAGACAATTCCCCTTCCGTGATCATAGCTTCAGAGCCTGAAGAGGCAGTTGAAGCTGTAGAATCAACCAAGGAAACTGCATGTCCAACTATCAGTCCTTCAGATCGCAGTGAAACCAAGATAGAGGGTGAACCAAGTTTACCTTTTGCTTTCAATGAAGATAAGGTAATCAGCGTTTGCATTGCTTATTCTACTAAGGTGATTGTGCTTTTCTCTAAACTCTGGATTTTTCTGTTTCTTATTCCATTGTTAGTATTGAGTCACTTCTCTCATATATTAATAGAATACTTGTGATCATCTGTTTGAAAAACCTTGTCTCATCAGGATGTCATAGAGGCTTCGCAGACCAAAGAGCTAGAAGACATTGTTGACAGTGACGTTGCTCGTGAATCTCTTATTTCAGCTTCCACACCAATGGAGTATGGTGGTAAGTTCTCATTGGAAGTTGAGATTGAATTTCCATTGCTACCATGAGTTAAAAAATGATTTGTTGACCTAGAATTTTGTATAATTCAGGAGCCCTGATGCCTGAAAAAGTAGAGGTACAAGAGGGCATCAATTCCACAACATTGGGGTTAGTCATTTCATGCATGGATGTTTCTAGTCTATGCCTTTAGTATTATTTTCCTTTGTTATCAAAATAGTAGGTGCCTATCGTAGGGCATGCTTAATTTGTTTGATTTATTGTCCTTTTACTATATTGTAGAGTAGCAGAAACATAGAGAAGAAAGGGAAATAAGAGAAAGGGAAAAAAAAGAAATTGAGTGAAAGCAGGGAAGAGGAGAGAGAGAGAGAGAGAGAGAGACATGAAGAGGTATGGTTCGCAGCCATAGAAAAGGCAGCCCGATGTGCAAGCCTCTTGCCATTGTGGGGTTGCCTACTACCATAACTTTTATTAAATACAGAAAAGGAAAGATATAACCAATCAATACCCTGCCATATTAACCAGTTCAAACTGCTTGTCCAGAGGAGTCCGAGTGCGATTCAAAACTTTAATGAAAACTGATAGATAAACAAGGCCTTAAACTGACTCTAATGTAACTCATATTAAACTCAACAGATGGACTGAAATCACTTAATAAACCTATTAATTTAAATATGAATAAGAATACAACTATGACTCTGTTTGGCAACTAATTAAGACAGATATATCATCATGGATGATGAGAGAATTTTGCATCAACAGCTTATCATCTTTGAGGTTAGTAGATTCCATATGTGAGAATGAGGTTCTTTTGCACATCATTTGGATACTTTACACTACATTTTTAAATTCAAAATTTCTATTGTTATATAAGTCTTTAACATATTCTGACTTTATGTCTATTGATCCATAATTTATAGCTTTTTCTAACCTTTGTTGTGGGTCTTAGTTTTCTGAATGTCGCAGATTTTAATTAGTTGGTGCCTTGTGGTTATTGAGTTCATTTTTTTCCCTTCATTGGTTGTGACCCCCCCTCTGTCAAGATATGGTCAGAAGACTCAGACCTATGATAACTGTAGAATTAGCTTCATTTTGATTGAGTTTTGACCTGAAATAATTAATTCTTTCTGGCAAATTGATGTCAATGATGATGCAATTTAAGGCAATACGTTGGTCCTCACTAATAGCTCTAAGATTACTAATAGACTGCCATGTTATGAGTGCAGAGCAATGGTGTCAATAGATGGATTGTTGTGCTCTTACAATTATTTGACTGCAAACTTGAATTCTCAGCTTATTTACATTATTCAGTGAATTCTTCGGATCACCTTTTGGAAGATGTGTTCAATTCTTGCAGATGTAGTGGGAGTATCATAAACTCAATATGATGATTGTAAATTCTGGTCTTCTATGCAAAAGCATTCACATTATGATTCATACCTCTACGTCTAATTGATCTTCTGTCCAAGGATTTAAATATCACCCTATCATACAGAAATGACAAAAACAATAACAAGCCATAATGTCCTGACTATTTGGTTATATGGATTTTTACAAGTGATTCAGCTCTGTACAAGGCAATATATCTTTAGTTACTTAGGAAGCATTTAAATCTCTTTTCATAGTTTCTAATGAAGTCTTCTTATGTCTCCTCTATCTCTCCTCGCATTACCAATGCTAATTGTCTCTCTTGGGAGATACTATACTTGCTTTTGTCAATGAAATTAGTACTTGGAGGATCTAGGTGCATAAGACATTGATGGATCCTAAAGCTTTATAGGTGAAGTACATTAATGTAGACCTGTAATTTTAGGATGTGCAAGCCTCTGTTTTTCCTCTCTCCTTGAAAGTTTGTGCTTCATTCATTCAGAAAATCATCTTTAAAGGACATGACGAAAAGCATGACTGGGGTTAATAATGTTAAAATAAATTCAATTTCTGAACACGGAACTTATTTTGAGGCTTCTTTTATTTGTTGTCTTGCCTTTTGACTCTTGGAGAATTTTTGTACCTGTATGATTTTTTGTGAAATCTGAAGGGTTTTCTTCGTGATATGACCTTTTACTTAATGTAATTTTTAACAAGCACTAACTAATATTAGTTTCTCTACTCTTGAACCCAGTTATGCTGATGATATCGCCAATCTTGACAATAATGTTCAAACTTGCATCACAAACACAATTCCTACAGTTTCTGGCATTCTGGAGGCCAACAACACTGAAGAATTGAATCTAGATTCAGGTTTCACATTCTCAACTCTTTTGTTGTTAGTTTCAGGCTCTTAATTATTTTGTTGCTCAGTAGAACATAATGCTTTGCTTATTTATCTGCCAGGTTTAGCTGTATTGCTCATTATTTCTATCTGATACGGTTTGTCTTGCTGAGCTCATGTTAATTCATTAGATAATAGTTGGTTTTTGGGTTGGATGAACTCCAGAATAATGTCTGAAACATAGGGGTTCAAAGTACCTAAAACGGAACTCGACGCCAATTTTGATAACTGGGTGCATCCATTATCTATCTAGATATTATCTTGGATATTGGGTTCTAAAGTTAATATTTGGCCTTTTCTAACTTGTACGTGTTGGGAGACTTACTTGATATATTAGACTTGAAATACCATCTAAATTGTGAATGACTCTTCTTTAGCTTATATTGCACCATTTGCCACTAAATTATCATAAAACAAACATAATATTAATATATTCTTGCACATAAATATTTCTGTTGATGTATTCTATTGTTAGGCCTCACATGTGGCTCGATCTAGATTTAAATCTTAATCTGACTAGCTATTAGATATATTATTAGGGGTCCATATACCAGATATGTTAACTTATTCTAAGGCTCCATCCTTTAAAAAATTGGAAGGCAATTTAATTGGGTAATGGGCTGATTGGGATTCATTGAAACCTTTAGTTGATGGTGTTTACACCAGACTAATTGTGGCAATCTGGTAGATTGAATCAGGTTCAAGTTGGGTTTATGTGTAGTTGACCAAAGTATCCTCCCAGAACTGATCCATCCATAATTGGGTTAAGATATCTCAATCCATGCCCAGCTTTTTATTTCAGTTTTGGTTTTGGGTTTGGGTTGAAAACAATAAAAAAAACTAAAGAATTAGAATATTATGAAAAAGAATCAACCAAATGTTTCTAATACCTATTTTCCAAGTCAGGAAACATCAGATAACTTTCAAGGTTTGATGATGACATAATTGAAGTACCAATTCACCGCAGGGACATCAGTGTTTCAGTGGTTGACGTGTGGGACCACTGGAAAGTGCAGAGAGAAGTAAACTAAGTCATACTACTTTTTGATGATATTTTTGGATTAATTTAATAAATTATGACTGACTTAACTGTAGCTACATTAAAGTGTCTGAAGGAGATTGTGTCGTATCTTTTTAATCTTACTGACCCACTGATTCAGGAGACAACCCTGAACTCATCCAAGATAGTTTTGCATTGACATCAGGTAATTCTAACATGATCAAATGACAGATGATCTCACCTAGACCCAGTTTATGATATTGTGTGGGCTGTCCGGTTCATGTGAGGAATTGTCACCCATACATTAGACTTGAAAGTCTATGATCCAAGGTGTGGGAAACAAACACTTTGTAAAGAATCAGTTCACGATAGCAAATTCTTTGGAACAATACGGTTTTGACTATCAGTGTTGTTAGTGCTTTAGTGATTTGTGCGTTTATAACTAGTGCTTGGCAGGGGAATCTGCTGAACTAAATTGTGTTAAAGATGCTTGCTTCTTGTTATTTTGATGTGCCTATTTTTGTGGGTTTATGTATGAATTTTTTGAGCATAACATGTGATTGTGGTTTAGCATTTGTATCAATAAGAATATATGTTTACATGCATTGAATATCTTATACTTTGCAGTTACAAAGCCGCAGGATGGAGATATTTATTCAGAACATGAGGCAAAAGGATTGACGAATGAATTCTCAACCAATGGGTAACTGCAGATGAAAATATCTTATTTTCATGGTGATCCTGCTGTTTTACTCGATTCACATCAGTATAACAGCTTTTTTTTTATTCAGCGGATCTGCCGAGTTAAATCCCGCCTCACAGTCCTTTTGTGAGGAAGTTCAAAGTTGTATCCACCTTAGCAATGGGGAGGAGACAACAGGCAATTCTGAAGAAACCTGTGAGCTTCCAAGTGAAGCTGCTATCAACAAGGAGGCTGCTCATGATATGGACAGTATCATAGGCAAATCTGAAAACGGTACGAGGATGAGATCAGTCGAGAGAGTCCTAATTGAACGTGAGCCTGAACCTAGCAGCCATACAACAGTAAAGGGAGGAAGAGGAAGAGGGCGAGGGCGAGGGCGAGGGCGAGGGTGGGGGCGGAGGCGGGGTCGGGGTCGGGGTCGGGGTCGGGGGCGTGGACATGGTTCAAGTGACAACCCGCAATAGCGGGCCCTGTCGTCGGATGCTTTGTCACACCAAAACAACAAGTTGTTTGGCATCCATTCCCAGGGTAGGTGCCTGTATCCACGTAATGTGCTGTCATCTCATTTCCACTTTCATCAGCTTAAGGCAAGAGTTAGATCTGTCGTCGGATCTCATCTTTGCGTCTGTAATATTTTATGGTCGATCGCCTTCAACACCCACAAATCACTTGAAACATCTTGGTTTGTTACTCTTTCGGCAGCTTAATTATCATACTGAATAGTGGTCTTGGTCATCTCTCGTGCTGTCCTCTTGCAGTTGTCTAAGCTTCGGTTCGTTCAGTATGTTCTTGGACAGACGTGGTTCTCCAGCGTCTATGCCCAACAACTCAATGCTCTGTGCTTTCTATGCATGAATGCAAGTTGATGCATAAGAGAGGCAACATAGGTACCAAAAGACTGGATCATAAGTTACTCGAGACAGTTAACCTTTCACCTGCATGAATTGATTAGATCACAGAGAAATCAAATATTAGTATAGTGTATACTGTAGGAGGTAATGTGGTGTGGCATCTTAATTTTCTCTGAGCCAGCCAGCGAGAGAAAAAAAAAACATCGATAGATGTTGTCAGGGGAATAAACTGAGGGGTCAACCAAGTAGGTTGTTGAGGCCTCGGCATCGAGGCATCTTAGATCATCTTTGACCTACTTGATTCCCTGGCCGAGTCGGCTCAGTCAACCATCTCGAGGCATCTCAGATCGAGAACTCATGCTTTTAGTGCATGGCACACAGCAGATAGTATTATTACTGAAAGGGCAGTGGCACCCTTTACATGACTAGGTCTAACCCAGACTCTCACGTTTTCATGTGTATGTGACAGGTGACGACGGACTGCCGGCTGAAATGACCCAGCTACAGTCACAGATAAGAAGATGATGATGAAGAAGAAGAAGAAGAAGAAGAAGAAGAAGTCGATATCTCCAGAGAACCATTGTATATGAGCTCCTCGATCATCTCCTCTATGTACTCATCATCCACGCGTGTGACCTCCGCCTCCTCCTCCCTTCCGACCGGCGCGACCACCTCAACTCTCTTGCCCTCCTCCCGGGACGCCGAGCAGCACTTCTCCAGCTTCGCCATGAGGCCCGGGGACAAGGCCGGCGCCGGGATCGAGCAGTTGGGGTCGACGGGGAAGTTGGTGCGGGCCTTGGATCCGCACATGAGCCGCGCCGCCTCGTCGTAGGCCCTCGCGGCGTCCTCAGCGGTGCCGAAGGTGCCTAACCAGATCCTGGTCTTCCTGTGGTCGAAGCAAGCATTAGCACAAACATGTAGGAGCGCTACTGGTGTTCGCAACAACACTGTGAGAAGGTAGGAGACGTTACAGAACAGGGTGCCTGATCTCGGAGACCCACGAGCCCCAGTGCCTTTGCCTAACCCCTCTGTATCTTTGTAGTCTTGGCATGTCTGTCCAATGTGAGCAGCTGCGTGTGTGTGTGTGCGTGAGAGAGAGAGAGAGAGAGAGAGAGAGAGAGAGAGAGATGTAGGCAGGTGATCCTATTTGTAGTATGGGGAGTGACTGCCTTCGCATATAAAGCCTATGCGGGAGGAGACACAACTGCCCCTTTGGTACAAGCAGCCCATTAAGGGCCCATGAGCCGACATCAAGCTTCAATCTTAAAGCACTTACTAATTATTATGCCTCATATCTTACTACTAAAATTCCTATGGTGATTTCAGTAACTTTTGATTCCTGTACTTAATCATAAGACTTATAGAAAATCAAAGCATTCAGGGAAATGGTTTTTATTGACAAAAGAAATAATTTACTTAAGCTAATATGCCCTTATTGATGACAACACACAACATAAAAAGCATTCATGTCAAGGGAGCTCGAATGATGAATAAAAATATTATTTTTATATTATTTATTCTCTTCTCCGTATTACATGCGTATGGATATGCGTCGTCCATGCATAGAATCGAATTGATTGATGATAGATAAACGACTCCGACGATCACGGGCCGACCATGATAAAGAAATGGCAAGTGGGCCCATCAAGTACACAAAGAGGCCCAAAAAGAAAGCTTGGTGTAATATTATACAATGACACGGCCAATTGGTAGGGCAATGCAAGTCCTCAGCGCCTGCCCCATGTGTTGTTGGCCTCTCTCTCTCTCTCTCTCTCTCTCTCTCTCTCTCTCTTCCCTGTCTTTTCATATCAGATACAAAGAACTCAAGTCATGTAGATGAGCTTATGGGTTGTGGGGCTCATGGCAAGTGACATCACAATGCTTGCACTGCCATGGTGGGAACATCAACAGATGAGAGCTACTTCGAGTTACCTCAGAGGCCCTCACATGAAGTGCCATGGGGAGGGGTGTCTCCTTGTTGTTTAGGATATGTCACTTGGGTTTCTTGTGTGTGTCTTTGGATGCTTTGGAGAGGGATGGGGGGGATATCATTTGTGTAGGGGGGAAGAGAGCATGGCACATGGAAGCATTTTGGAGAGCACATGAATGGCTTTGGATCTTCAAGGGTGAGCCCACAAGGGATGTCATGTAGTGGGAGGTCAAGGGCAGTGCATGTGCCCCATGTGAGGTGATAGGTTCGATGGGGGATGCCAATTTACTCCCCCTACTTTGAGGTGAAATAATAAAGATGTGTGATGACACCAATAACTCCTAAATATTTATACAAAATTATTAAATAATTAAAATAAAAAAAAGAGTCCATCCTACCCCACATTTACATCTTTAATCTCAATATTAAGCTACATCTATATAAAATCATGATCCAACCTAACTCATTAGCACTTTAAAGTGAGGTGTACATTTATATATATGAACACACATTTTTCTCTCTCTAAGTGTATATTTACATGCCCAATGGGCCAATCCAACACATTCTTGTCTAGTTTAAAAAAGCCCAAATCTTTGTTTTTTTTTCAGAAATATTTGGTGTCAAATCATGAAAGCTCAATATAAATAATTAAACACAAGAATAAAATTATACTTTAGATAGGTCTCAAGTATAATAAAAAAAATCCATATAGCTGATCTGAAATAATTATTCAGTATTATTATTATTATTATTATAAGTCCATTATTTATTATTTTTAATATTAAAAATAGCAAGGTAGCTCAACAATAATTCTCAAGTTACCCATAATAAGGTCCTCATATGTCTACATGGAAACAAAAAAAGGAACCTTAAAAGGGAAGGGAGTCGATGCATTCATTACAAGATAAGATTCATATATTCCTAAAAAAGGATAAGTGCACGCTGAGTTCCAACACGAAGGCTTTCGTGGGTGTCACCCGTTGCACGACCAATTGCGACCACAAAGAGCATGGCTTCGGTGCGGCGATGAGAGCGATCGCTTGGCTTTCAGCTTCGTCTCCGATGTCAGCACACCGGGGCGTTCTCTGTGCCGGAACAAGGGAACGGCGAGCTTGTACGTGGCGGACGCCCGTGTAGTCTTGTGGCCTCCGTGGGCCGAACCTCTCGGCTTGGCCGTCATCGTCGCGGCTGCCGCGGGTGGAGAGCTCAGGTTGAGGCCGGACAGGAGGAGGAGGAGGAGGGCCAGAACGATGAAAACCTTGGCCATCCTTGTTGCGGGGAGAGACGGTGGCTTCGACAAGGGTTGCATGGGTAGATGGCGTTTTAATGTCGCGTCTTTGAGGCCATGACCTCTCTTCCTTTGAGGTAGCGACCTCTTGACATGGCCAAGCCACTAAATATTTAGCGGTCCTCCAGTTTGGTAGATTGTTCCGTTCCCTTCGATGCTCAAGTTAGTATTAATATTAAAATTAAAATTTATTATAATTTTTTTAAGTAATATTTCTGTATTTTTCATGAGAGAATATTCAACATTAAAAAAAATTATTTATTTTACCATAAATCTATTTAGGTTTCAATTCTTTATACGAACTAAAACTGATTTCAATTCGATTTCGATAATGTGTTAGATGGGAAGCTCATGCACTGTGATCATCGGATCACTTCAGTTCCCGATGACAGAAGAGAAGGAAGAAGAACCAGCAGAGGAGGAGTCACCCGATTCCTCCACTTGGAGCTGCTTCCGAGCAGCAGCGCGTGTAAGCATTTCTTGGGTCCATCCAATGTGCTCGTTTCTTCTTCTTCTTCTTCTTCTTCTTCGTCTTCTTCTTCTTTTTCGTCTCTGCAGTGCATCCTATGCTGAGTGTCAATTCAACTTCATCCACTGTGGTCTCCTCGTCGATGCTCGTTGCTCCCTTTGAACTGCACTCTTCGGCTGGCTGTTCGAGATCGAATCCCTTGACATGCGCTCTGCCTTCTGCGTTCGATCGAGCTGCACACCGCTGCAAATTATAGCTGGTGTTGGAGGTGGAAGAGGCACTGCTCCAGATTCTGCTCCCGGTTTCCGTGAACTCGTTGTTTCGCAGCTCAGCCATCCGCAGCTTCTGATCTTTGTACAGGCGATGGAGTTCGTACACCTGCAGGCATCCAATCTAAATGAGTACTCTTGACATCGTTTGCAGTGAACAGGGAGTGCTTCTACCTGTTGCTTGAAGATTTCTTCATGCTTCAACATCGTATTCCTGACAGCATCTCTGCTGTCGCATTCAGCGAGTCTCTCCATCTACCACTTCACCAAGCACACATTGTTGCCTTCGGTGGTCTGTTGTCGGAGACTACGATGGAGTTCTGCCGCTGCAAGGTGGTGAAGAGGCTATTGATCTGATGCAGCTTTGTGCCCATTCCTGTGGAATCAAGAGCATATAGACAAAAGGTTTGCAGTAAAGAGATGAACCTGAAAACATCAGTCCATTAGGCTGACATATAATAAGGTTCTTAGAACTTGTAATTCCATTACCATCGCCTTATGGTGATGTTGGATAAACAACTGCATCAAGTCGATCGATCGATCGATCGATCGAGAGAGAGACAGAGAGAGAGAGATTGCTATCCGGAGACCAATTTGACAGATTTATATATCTCATGAAGGAATCATGAGATCTTATAACAAGGAGTCATTGGTGAGCCAAATCCTCTGTTCTTATCTTGTTTCTGGCTCATCATCTTTCCAAAATCTTGCCTTGGCATCTCCATGCTGATGTTTCAAGATTAAAGAAAAGATGATCCTGTTCTTGGAAATTAGGCTTACAACCTCCCTCCAGAGAGACTAAAAAGAGAAGATCATACAACAGAAGCTTATAAATAGCACACAGATGTGAGCAATCCAGGGAAAACCATTGAACTGTTCTCACGAGACCTGATGTGATTCAAAGGAAGGTAAAAAGAAAACGAAAGATGACGACGAGTGCATGTCAACTTTCCTCAGAGAATTCAAGAGAACTAAATTATGCAGAATGGCAAGAAGAACATTGGTGTCCGACTCATCAAGCTGAAAGTGGAGGTGCAAACACAGGTCAGAGGATGGATGTCGAGCGATTTCCAGTGAAAAGTTAGTCATTCGTTGTGCATCCATACTGCCTTGTAAGATTTCAAGCATAAATGTAAGCGGAGAACACTTGGAAGACAGATTTCACCTGCAAGCTGCAATTCCACTACCCGATGAAGCCTTCAGCCATCTCTCCTATCACCTCCTCTACTCATTCCGATGACGATGCCATCACTGTGGCAGTTGCTTGCAAGATGGGAGCTCAGCAGGTTGTGGTGGACGGGGAAGAAGAGAGGAAGAAGGTGAAAAGCCTACTCTGCGACCGAGCACTGTTTTGTGTCATATCCACAAGGCAGGAGGATCTAAAGGAGTTGGCAATCAGAACAACATTATAAAATGATCCCAATCTCACTTGTCTACGCAAGCATGTGTAGGAAAGATTCAGAGATGCTAAGGTGGGCTTATCCTTCTCTCTCTCTGAACCAAATGCAATCATTTCATGTTCTTATTCCTGTCCTTTTAGAAGTCTTGAGATACCCATGTTTGCTCCCATTTCATTCACACAGCTAAGTCGCGTGATCATCCACTAAGATAGGTGCACTTCTTTAATCGATCCCAGCGATTGGATTCCTTTTGCTGGATTGACATGGAAGCCCTCCTGCACAGTAAAACTTGGCTTTTACCAAAGAAAGGCTTCAACTTTCGACACCGTTAAATGGATGCCAATAAAAGAGGTGTAGGAGAGCAAAGATGAAGAAGAAGAAGAAGAAGTGGAGCAACACTTCCTTCCACTTTCCTCCGAAAGCCGACAGAACACAACACATCTGTCATCCAAGTCTCTCGACTCTTAAAGAAACCCAAAGCCTCTCGTGTTCTCACGAGGCAGAATCTAAATGGGTGGTGGAGAGCTGGTGCTCTGACTCCAGAACAAAGAATCAAGCTGTGCATCTTAAGATATCTTACCCTGTCGTTGGTGGACTGTACGCTTCCTTTTATTCAGGAAGGAGACGATTCAAGCAGCAGATCTACCAACATATTTTACTGCAGAACGAAGCTAAATTGAATGATCCCTGATTCCTCCATGATCAGTGCATCTGTGGAACCAACAGAAGCTCTAACATGTTCCCCTGATGGGATAAGACAAGGCATGTGGGCATGATACAGCATCGCACTCTGGTACTTGGTCTGCATTGATATCAAATGCTTTGCTTTGTCCACTAGCAGTAGCAACATTTCACAGGGACTCAAGTGTTGAATCTGAGACTTCAATCAAGCACTGAGCTCATGGTCCCATATAGGGCATGCGCCAAAGGTGAATGATGATTCAAGAAGAGCATCCGAGCATCACACATTCTTTGTCCTCTCTGCCATTTCCTACGCCCTCCACATCTACATGGTTCTTATCAAGTCATTGGAAAGGACCTGTAAAGCAACAATAAATATGTAGTTCATAAGTGAAAGAAAAAGGAAGAAAAATTCTATAGTTGTATGTTTGGGATAAGTATGATCTGCTTTATATAAAGTAATGTGCATGACAATGCTTTTCCACAGTCAATTCCATCCATACAACGAATCCTATTCTATGTTAGGTAGATGGATAATAAGCTTTTTTTTATAGAATGTTGAGGAGGAGAACAACACCTCAGCTCTAAAATTCAAAGATCAACAATCAAATATAATATAAAAATAATCTTATTGATTTCTGTAAACAAAAATCAAATCCTTCAACGCGTGAGAATAATCAAATATAAGGAATAAAATTGTCTTTCGAGTCAATCCAAAAATTGTATTGCAAAAAATGTTTTTTTTTCTCTCTATATTTTCATTTTAGTAAGATCTTGAGATACAGAAGATCATATCTCTTAAAAATCATTTTCGTACATGAATTTTTTGTCATTCAAATAATCTTATTCCTCAGATGATTTTGTTGCTATTGGGGTTTCACAGATCTTTTCCCGAGAATCTGTCTTCTCAACCAAATCTTGTCCTTGTTGTTCAGCAGAGATTCTAATATGATCAGGTAAAGCTGTGAAAATGAGCACAGCAATGTTGAGCTCTTGATGAGCAATCTGATGTCTACTAACAGTACATCCCAATTGCAGTGGGACAGTGCGAAGCCAACAGCTGCTGGCAATGGCAACAAGCTGAGTACAGACTGCTAGGAAGCTTTTCCACAAGCCAATCCATGGTGATGTAATTGACTCACCACCCACCAACATTATCACACCAACTATTCCCTGTGTTCATGCAGCAAAAGCTGGGAGAGCTGCCTGATGATGTTCTCTGTCCATCCACATCCCACACATGGATGACAAGCAACAAAAGGACTCACCCTCATGTCATTGATGGAGAAGACAAGCAGTTTCCCTTCTTGTTCCCTTCGAAAAACTCCGAGAGCTCTCTGTTTTCTTTGCTCCCATTGGCAGGAACACTGCATCCTAGAACTCCTACAGTTAAACATAGGCATGCCTTACGGATCAAACAAAATATTCGGATGAGGTAAAAGTCTTATCCACCCAAAGATTTATCCAAGAATCACTGTTCATCAATCCTCAATGTGGAGAGGCTATTGTCCAAGTTAGGTGCTTGTCATGATAGAGACTGGGAATACAGATAAAAGATGAGGGATGGCTATAGAAGCAATCGACCAAAGCACAAAATAGACCATATTATATTTCGAGGGGCTTTTCAAGGAAGACGATAATAAAGATGAAAAGGTTGAAGAGATAGAGATGGAGATATGAAAGGGTACTTGCAAAGCTAAGATTGAAGACCTTTGTCCGACGGGCTGAGCGGCAATTGCTGGGTCAACGAGCTAAGCCGCAATGGATGATCCAACGGGCTAAGCTAATGAGCTGGGCTGCGCTGACTAGACCAATCCAGCTCGATTCGCTGTGCGCGCCCGATTCCGTGGGTCGCACCAGACCGGCCCTCTCGATTTGGACCACGACTACAGTAACAACCAGACGGAACCCGAATCACTCCACGAAGAAATATAATAATTGCTCAAAATCAATTTATTTATTTATTTATTTTTTGCCCCTTCCCACAAATCCCACACGCTTTGTACGTGGGTCCCGCGGGGCCCGGTAATCTGGTATGGGTTCCGGGGCCGTAGTATTCGAGGCATAACCACCACATCGATCTCCCCGAGGCGCCCGTGTACATCACATGCGAGCCAGCGGCACCGCCCCCCAAGCGTGCCCCGAAGCACATGGGCGGTCGGCGTTAGTCCCGCATAACACTCATCGTGTGAGTCGTTTAAGATAAAGTTATCGGTGCCTCACCGTAACGGCCCCGCTGCAAGAAGAGGAGGCACATCTCACCTGACCCACGCTCTCTCTCCTGCCTATAAATTCTCTCCCCGATCATTCCCCACCTCTCTTGCTGATACCGAAGAAGCCATCGCCAGTATCGCTTCCTCGAGGGCTTGGAGGAGGAGGACGAGACAGGAAGGAAGCACGCGGGAGATCGATCGAAGGAGAAGGCGTTAGGGTTTCGGGTTATGGGATTTGGCCGATGTCGGGCGAGAAGCCACCGGTAGAGTTCTGCAAAGGCGTGAATGGCCTCGAGAAGGTCGTGCTCAGGGAGGTCCGCGGGAGCTCGGCCGAGGTCCGATTCATCTCCCTCTTCTTTTTTGGTAGTCGCTCTTTTTTTGGTTCGTGTTGCTGTTGAAATTTGCGAGACGAATTCGATTCGAGATCGTTGCCTCTGGGTTCTTTGTGCGCTGGTTGGATCCGATTCGATAGTGCTGGATCTGATGCCTTTTTTGCCGTTTGTGAACTTTTCTTTGGTCAATTGATTTGATTGGAATGATCTGGATCTCTAAGGACTTGGTCAATTCCTGCCGATCTCAGGAAATTAGTTTTGGATAACGCAGTTGCTTGAGAAGTCGGACACACTGCCCGTGTTTTATGTGCACGTAGATATTTACATGCAAGCTCCGTTGGTGATCCGGTGATACTAGTAAATTTGCGGGGTTTTGCAGCTGTCTTGTTTAGCGGATTAGATCATCCAATTTATAAATATTAACTAGAGGTGTAATTATATTGTAATGGTGGTGGTGATGCATTTCATGTTTGGTTCTTCTCTTCAGAAACACCTCGTGAAATCTTATTTCTCGAAAGCAATTTTTAGTTCTTTTGTAGACAATCTTGACATGATTCATCATCTATCTTTCCAAAGCGTTGCAAGAAGATTATATACAGAGATACTTTCTGATAATACTGTCTTCTTTTTCAAATTTGCTTGTCTTGGTAAGTTAGAAGGATAATGTTGCCTAAGGTGGTTTGTCATCTGGAAGCAGGCGAAAACTGTCCTCTCTATAAAATATAGTGCAGGAAGTCCATCTGGGATATGTCAGGAAACTAGATTTTGAGATTTGCTGAGTGAATTATGCACCACAGATAGGAGGCTTTTCCATGAGGATACAATTTACCTTAAATTCTTTTCTAGGAACTAATTGTTGTGCATGCACAGTTCTGAGAAATACTAGAAGGGGCCATATGATTTACAATTTTAGGCCGTTGCGGTAGTCTGCTGGTAAAATATTTGTGGATCAAATTTGTCTGTGCCTATCACCCTCTCATGCAATTGTGATGATCAGGTAACTTCTTTCTACACTGAGTGAAGTTGTTCTGATTTTGTCTGAATAATTGTTTAATGAGATGTGGTACTTGCTGTTGGATGATGTTCATGAGACCTTAAAATTTCTTAGGCTGTTTATTTTTGCCAAAGTCTGCCGCAAACATCATTGGTTTTGCTACCGTTAAATCACCAACTCTCTTTATATTAATTGGTAACTGCTACCGTTAAATCATCATTGAGCAGGTAGTCCATGATTATATTTATTTTGTTAGCTTCCGAATTGCCAATCCATTGAATAATGTTGAACATTTGAATTAAATAAGTTTGAAGACAATGTAATAAATTTTATATTAATTGCATTGATGACACCATATGGGTGTTGTTATTCCTCGAGTTGTGGCATTTGTATAATACTTGGGGTGTAACAACCCAAAATGTCATTGTTTGAGTCATGAAAACAAACAGTAAGAATGCTTATGTTGACCTTTCTCCAAACCCTGCATTAGTGAAAACCTTGTGCACTCGGCTAGCCTGTCTGAAATTGACCTACACTGCCTTTATAATGTTCAAGTACTCTTGGTACAAATTTTTTTTGGCCTGCTCATTTGTTTACAAGATAGAGATTGGTACAACGTTTCTAGCCTAATTACTTGTTGTATAAGATAGAGACTAGAAAGCTAATCTTTGGTTCTTAGTGCATATTAATTTAAATAAATACTGTCTTTCATGTGATTATATGAAATCAAGTGGTACACCCAGGTCTGCTTACCAGGACAGGGGTGGACCAGTATGCATCCCCCTGTGCAATGGCCTATAGCATAGTTTGATTCCTTGCTTCGATTGGCACTAGTACAAAATCAATTTAGTAAGGTATATATCATGCACCTATTTCAGAGATATGTATACAAA